GCACGGGGACGGGGAGTTTCTTCGATCTTTCCTATTACGAGTTCTTTTTTTTTTTTTTCCATATACGATGTGTATATAAGATGGGGGACAGTCTTTGGATTCTGGAAATTAAGAGGAAAGTAAAAGTTTGTTGTAAAGAAATTATGGAAATATCGGTCGAGGGTTATTTTTTATTGGTCCCAATTTATCTAAAGCAAATTTTAATTGGTTGCAATGCACGTAAGATTGATTTTTTTTTGTTTCTTGTTTTAGTTTTTACGATCTGTACAGGGATTAGAGAGATTGTCGAGATTATTCGGTTTTTTGGAGTTATTTGCAAGAAATTTTTTGTTTATTATTTATCGATTATTTATATAAATATATTTCAAAAAGAGGAATCTTATATGATTTTGAGTATTTTGCGAATCTTTTCAAAGATATATCTGTCGTTGTGTTGCTTCGATCAAAATTTTATATCTTATTTTCGCGTTTCATGGATTTGAAAAATAGATACTAAGCGATGTTATGGTTCACTCGTTAATATATTGATGTGTTTATATAAATAATTAATAAATGACAGTCGCATGACAGAATTCAATAGTAATAGCATCGATAGCTTTTTGCGAATACGTTGGAAACTGGAATAGTCAAAATGGAGGAGAAAACAAGATTTCATCATATATTTATTTTAAATGATTAAAAAATGTGATGAAATTATTATTGGTTACGATATTTCGGTATTAAAATTTAAAGATTTGTAACATTCGAAATTAGTTCGATTTTTCAATGATTCGTATCACGTATCATTATAATAATGATATTATAATATATCGTTACACAAGTATGCCGTATGAGTCACGTACGAGTTAAATCGATCGAGATAACTCGTTCGGTTTCTTAAAAGTTAACCACTAATTATACAGTTTAGATCCTCTTGCATCGATCGATCTAATATCAGTAACGTTATTACACAAGTAAGATACAAGTTATAAATATGTTGTCATTATTAATAATGTACTGTAATAATTTTGCTAATGAAAATGAATTCGTGACGTGACGAAAAATTCCTCTTTTTTTTTTTCCACTTTATATCGATAAATTTATAATTTGTCAATTCAACTAATATCACGTTGAATATGACAAATTATTTTATAATAGAGTTTTAATATTTGTATAGAATT